TCACTTGTTCGCTTCGCTCACTCGTGAGATATTGTTCTTGCCACTCGAACATAAAATTCATATCTTCTCGCCACCGTGTAATATCCTCTATATATTATGTGTATGTCCTAAACTATCACTGAACCATCTGCCCAAGACATTAAATGTCCAACTTAACAGATTGCGAGTACAGTAGGACCCCATTAATCCGGTCACAAACTGGTCTCAAAAATCTGGCTGTATTAACGAGGTGACTGTATTAAAGGTGTTCTTTAAATAAGAAAATGAGTGACTGAGCTTTTGTTTGGGCCAGAATATAGTGGCAGAGATACCAAGGCAGAGCTCAACATTGTGACCATTGGGGTAGCCAATACGACTGAATTTTTTTCACTGGCGACTAACTTTCCATGCTTTTCACTGAAATACTAAGTTTTGCTGGCGATTAAATATGAAAACTTAAGGGCCAGCTGGTCCAAAGGTTTTTTCCTGAAAGTCGAGCCCTGAACGGGTTGGCCATAAGGCGGAGTTCCACTGTATATCATGGCAGCCCAGTCAAAGAGCCTGGAAAGCTATAAGAATGTTATTGAACATTGTATTGCCTGCAGTCAGAGATGAAGATGCAGAAAGCCAAATGATGCACTGATAGCAATATTGTGTATTTGGCTGGAATGAAATGGTTCTCTGATCATGAAATATTATTAACAGCAAATTTTGAGATTGATGAAAGCACACAAACTTTTTCATCAGGTGAGGTAGAATATGACAGGACTAAAAAAAAGAGCTATCCAGTTGTCTGGGACGAGTTGATTTCCCTGCCGGGCAAGTAATGTTTCATTCTAACTTGCCCAATGGGCAAGGGGCCAGGCAAGCCTTCCGCCAACTAAATAAAAAAAAAAGAAGTAAACTTAGACTTGCCCAGGGCAGCAAAATTTGGGAGCTGCTTGTAAGTCAAGTTTTTTTTGAGCCCTGATATGATAGCTTACAATACAATGCTGAGATAGACAAAGTTCAAAACCCTACACAGTATAGTATAAGCAAATTAGAGCTAATATTAATTTTAGTATGTATAGCACCACTATGTTCTTTGGTTCAAGTCATTCAAGTTATAAGAAAACTTCACTCTACAAGCAAAGAAAGCCCAAATTATGGGAATTAACTTTAACCAGGCTGGCAAGAGCAGTATCTGAGCTCTTACTACAGTCCACCTTAGGTCAAAGATACCTCCTATAAACAGTCCAAGCCAGGCTCAGCCAGGGACGATTGGTACATTTTTAACACTCCACAATTTGCAACCTCTGGAACGTTTTCCTGTACCAAGAGTGTCCACTGTACGGGACAGAAACTGTAGACAGAAAGTGGGCCACAAATCATGCTAAAAATCCAAGTCTAGAATAAGGGCAGTGTCCTTTGTGTGTAGATAGGGTTCAAGTTGAATCCAGGAATTGTACCATCAAAATCGGTCCCAAGATGTGCCAAGTAAGGACTAACATAATGAGTGTTACAGGGAAGGTAAAGAGGGGATGTAAAAGAGACTGCATTTTTCCCAGACAGGATCTATTGCTTTCAATTTAAATTAATCAATCAGAAATTGAACTTTCAAACCCTGAACATAAGATTTTCTCAGCTTTCTTAGCGTCGTGGTAATGAATTACTCTTTCCATCCCCTGGTTTGGCACCAGAGCTTTCCCTGCATGCTTCAAGGCCTTGCGTCTTGTTTTCTTTACTGTTGAACTCAAGCTCTATGTAAGCACCTGGAGTGCTACGCTCTCTGTTAACCCTGGGGGGTATCCTAGGGGAGCGAGATACATCACTCCTACCCCGAGGGCGTTCACTTCCTGGAAAGTTCAACTCAAGATAGTTGACCGATTGCTCCTTGTTGCGTTCCTTTGTAGATTGTGCATCGGGTAGGACTGTGGGTAATGAGTGTCTTTTGAATTGGCTGTTTGGACTGTTCTTTTTCTCCTCTGATTCTACTTGATTGTCAAAACTGCCATTGTTAGACAAAACACCACTGTCTTCATCATCTTTAGTTTTCAAAGAGTCCAAGTCTATTTCAGCGTATTCTGTGTGTTCAGTTGTGTGCGTGTCACAGTAACGATAATCAGAAGACGGCTTGACAGTGCACACAACTAACTCAGGGCTTCCTTTGATAATTTCACTTATTTCTGCTACAGAACGTCCTCCAACTTCAATCCCATTGATATCAAGAATTTGGTCACCTGTAAAGAGAAAAATAAAGAACCGAAAACTGGAGATATATTGATAGAACACAACACAATGACCCTGGCCAGGGCTGACACCCAGACCACTATATCCAAAGTTCAGTGCACTGAACCATTAACCCATGATGCCTCTTCAAACAGACAGGACATTGTAAGAAAACACAGTTTGTTGTTTAAAGCAGAGCAATCCAAATAGAAAACAGCAACTTTATTAACTGTCAATCTACTAGCTGGCTACAGGGAGTGTAATAATTGGGACACCTAGCAAACTGATCTATACATATTCAAAATTGAAAAAAATAGATTAGAAATCTAATCTCATAGGAACCTAAAATCTCATCTAATAAAACCTTTTGTCTTCTAGTCTGGGAGATCAGACAGAATATGCCAAAGTATGTAGAATAAGGCCCTATTAAAGTGAGTATTGATGTGATGTCAAACTCTCAAGTGTGTTCCACATGGGAATATGATGCAACTTGGAGGGAGAATCTAGCAATTTATCAGATGCTATATGGGTTTTTTTTCAGACACCCCTTCAATTTGAGTCAAACAACCTAAAAAAAGCAAAGTTTGTTTAACTTTGGCATGCACATTTAGTGAATTAATGTAATCAACAGAGTTTGAATTAACTTGTTTGCTTTGTATTGTTCAGTTCCAGAAAATATCCATAATCCCCTCACAGAAGGGATTGGAATTTCCTGGGGGGTGAGGGGTTGTGTAGACCAAAAAATTTAAAGAAATGAATGAAGCTCAGTCGGAATTTCCAGAGGGGTGGGGGGGACTTAGAAAAATTCCCTTCCGTGGGGGAGGTATGGATATTTGCTGGAACTACACATTAGGAAGTAATAGTGGTGTTCAGTTGTCACAAAATTAATTATGGACCACTCCATTGGCTTGATCCATAAACTTGCCACGAAAGAACTCAGCTAGTATTTCCCAAAAACAGGCCTCACACCCAAACATTTTGTTGATTATATTTTAATTAAGGTTACAGTATACCTTCAGATTGGCAATTTTCTTCAAATTTGGATTTTTGGTTCAAACTAATGGTCGAAGAGTAATCTCTAATTTCTGAAAACAAAATTGAAAAAAACCTAATATTGGCCGAGAAATGGATGTTTTATGTTATGGCCGGAAGTAAAAGTTCCCTCTTGATTGACAGCCCTATAACGTGTATGCAATCAACTGAGACTACTTTCGCGGGAGTATTACCGATATGGATACCA